ATCACGAACATAAAATAAGTGGATAAATATATGAATACCGATTCCAATTAATGCATTCATGTGGGCATTTTGAAAGTAATGTCCATGATTTTCAGAAACAATTCACACTGATAGATGCCATATTTAGTTCTTTTTTGAAAAAATGTAAAGAACATTACGTTTCGCCATTAGTAGCTTAAATTGTGGTTTTTGATTATATTCGTAGGTAATGAGTCGAATGACGATAATTCTGTTGGTTATAAAACACGTTCGTCTCCCGACTCATCTAGAACTCTTAGAAAACTGAAACCTTTGCTAATATGTATGCTTAAAATACCGAAACGTCCGTCCCGTCCATTACCCGTGCCATCCGTTTGCGCTCGTCCCCGTCCACTAACGTACAAAGAGGGGTAAAGATTTCAAATGACATTCGTTCTATTTCCTAACAAAGAAGCTTCCATTATCCTGCTAAGACATCCTGTCTGCAATAAACTGATAGAATACATTTAGGGAAAGAACACCTGCTATTGCACACCTCGTGGGAGGGAAGTATCGTTCCGCGCATTTTGGCCTTCAAAGTGTTAAAATGAAGACGAAATAATTGGACATGTACTACCAAAGAAGAAATATGATAAGAGGGGGATGCAGAGTAAGAAAGTGGTATATGAGAGAAATTGCGAATAAACTACACTACAGAGAAAGAGCGATGTTATCCTGACCAGGTTTTTGTTTAACCTGAAAAAGTATGTAAGCCACTATTCGACGGTAGGCTTCTCATAACCGTTTTCCTTCCCTAACTGTCGCTATGATACTCTCAAATCCTGGAAGTATTTGTGCCGCAATTTGTACATGCATCACTTGACCAAAAGTTTTGTAGATCAATTATTTGACTTATTTCTTTAACAGGAAGCATGCGCTTTTGTCTAACCTTTCGAAGGCATTTAGTCATCGTTTCGATACATCCTATATGCAAATATTAGCTCATTTTGATAAAATGTTTTCTTAATGCTGAACTAAACTATTTGCCATTAGTTGTCAGTTTAAAGTAATTTAGAAAAAGACTGAAAACTTTGACTTTTTTTTCCCTTACTAAAGAGAAGAGTAAGGAATCCTGAACGCTCATGGAACCTTTGTTGTTGATGATCAAACATGCATTCGACGCAGATGTCTTTCTTCGTTTACATTCTGTACTAATTTGCCTCTTTAGAGAGACTTGGAGTATCTTAGATTAGTTGTTTCGTTAACTGATTATGGCAAAGAACAGAGAACTATCGGCCTTTGGAAGGATACTTTATGCCTGTATGCATAATTGTTGCAGGGATATCGTTTCATGTTAAATTTCACAACATCAAATTTGTGGATTATATTGACATTCTGATTCAGTTTAATTTCGATGAAGATGCACACTAATGTGTATATAATGATTCTACAACAATAGTAGTTAACAGTACCTTGTAATGAAACCCAAACACATTACATTTGCTTTGGGTTTCATTACTTTGGGACAGAATTCTTTGGCAAACTTACTAAATCTTAGAAAATAAGACGGTTTTATTCATAAATGCATGTTAAAATTTAGCCATATTTCATTGCGTTCAGTTATCGCAAATATATGAAAATTTACATGCAAGGCCTTTTTAATAAATTCATAACTAAATGGTATAATCTTCTAATGCGACTCTATGCAAATAGATTATTATAAGTCGTTCGAACTCTCTGATCAGGTTATGATTGCAACACTTTTACTTACGCTAGGGAGCGGAGGGCATTTCACTATCCCTTTGTTTGTCCCTGAGCAGCAATGGACGAATACTCCGGGAGGATCGAAAGAGGGGCAAGAGCAAACAATCCTTTGATGATCGTCAAAGCCAAGGCACACGGAGTACGGAGATGAAATTTTAATCGCGAGTCGTCGTGGTTATTGTACACGCGTGGAATGCCATTAGCGTCAAAATAATACGGTCGCTACCCGCTTAATTATAGAGAAGGCGCATCCGATTATGACCGAAACGGCCGTGGTGAAGGATTATCAGAGAATAGTACGGCTTCCGAAAGGGACTGCCCGTCGATTATGTCCCAAGTCACCTCCTGCAAAGCTCTCAGACAGTGAAAGATGCTTGGCTTTTGGGAAGGTACGCACACTAACTTTCGTGGATTTTAAAAATCAAACTCCTAAATTATGCAGTACAGAAATTTATGAATGTCCGATGCACGTAACGAAATCCTGATCCTCTGCTTCGATGTGAATAATATGACTTTGATCCGTCTGGAATTTTCGTATATACTAAATGTAAAATATTCGAACCATTTGTAGCTATTTAATCAATTACCTCTTCTAGAATGTAAACAGTTTTACAACTGACAGATTTTCAGAATTTTGTATTTAACATATAATATTCGTACCAAGATTTTAAATTTCTACTACACATCTCTAATGTTCCATAGTAGTCATTGAAGATGATTAAATATCATCGTACTGTATTATTTTTAAAGAAATTAAATAATGAAGAACCTGGATTTATGTATGTATGTTTTTAGCATTGTGAAAAAACGACGGTACCTAGAGCAATCCTTTTCGACTAAAGTAGTCCTCCACCTGAACCTGTGCACTTAGAAGCCCGAATTTTGAATTTGAATTTGTTTTCTTATTCTGCAAAACTTTAATGAATTTTTTGATTAACAAACTCAATGGTTTGAAAGAGAACAGTGTCAACACTATACGGAATCGGAAATTCTAAAGATTTGCAAGAGTTTTGAAAGATTTTATGATTTTCTGTTGAATTGAATTTTACGTGGCGTGTGTGGAAAGAACGGGACACTTAATAAATAAAGTCAACAGATAAAAATTGACGGGAGGCTGTCTGTTACATCTGTTCCAAACGGCCGCTAAGTTTAGATGGGTAGGGACAGTTCCTAAGATTTTTAAATATTATGTACACAACTGATCAAATTTTTCATATGAAAGACACTTTTGAATAAGTTCTACATTATTATTTGTTAAAGGTACACTCACATTTCACAATTTATTAAAGGCAACAGTAAAAAGAGTTAAAGCACCTTGATTTATTTTCAACATAACGACTTCAGTCGATTTTTGTTAGAACTTGATCAAAATAGCATAGCTTATATGAATAATATATTGTTGCGTGCGTACGGATTCGTAATAAACTGAATGCTCAAGTCCGATGAAAAAGGAATAAAATTTATTTTTATCACAAATAAAAACAAAATGCTTAAATTCCCTCAGATATTCGTACAATATTACAATATCTCGCAGTAGTTATCTTTTAAATTACCAAAACGTTCAACAGAACTAATCGAAAATAGTGAAAGCTAATCACCGCGAATTCGATACAGTAAACAACAACAGCTTTCTAAATAAAACTCATAAAACAACTGCGCTGAGGTGTTCTTTCTCTCTCTTTTATAAGCTTTTTAATGAGCATGAGTACAGTCTGGTATTTTCTCGATTTTTCTCAAAAAGCAAAGCGTACAATTACGAGATATCTATTTATTAAATGCTCGTGCTCCTGTATTTTTAATTTTTTCCGGTGTAGCTTTCTCTTCAAATAAGTTGCGTGCTGCATTGAACGGGGAAATGAAACAATTAATAACAATTATATTAAGATTGCAAACTAAATAAATCAACACAAAAACCGTAACAATATTTAATCATAATTCAGTCGAATCCGATTAATTGGACCACCGGATAATCGGACCAGCGGCTTTTTCGGACCGAATCCTAAAGAACCGAAACAAATCCTATGTACTTAAGCCTAATATTATTCGCTTATTTGGACCAAAATTTCGTTTAATCGGACCAAAATACGGGAGATCGAATAAGAAACAGAAACCAGAATTCGGCCGTGTACAGCGGATGTACAGGTGGTCCGCGACATGTGATAGGATCTGCAGCTGCGCTCCTCCGAAGAATGCTTTATCAAAGATCAGGAATTCCATAAAGTGCATGACAAGAGCAAAATCAGTGGGAAGTAAACACGCGCACCATTTTCTTTGACCTTTCTTAAAACAGAGACACCAGTAGCCGCCAGCGAGGTTATTGATCCATCTGCGTCTCCAACGTTTCAGGAAATGAACAATAGAGTGTCCGGCTCCACCTGAAAGGAATTCCCGCCTGTCAATCATGATTAAAGTTTACACGAGAAAGCTATCATTTCACCACCCTTTGGGGATGAGTTTAGTGCCAAAGCTTTCAATGGCGAACACTTTAAGTCCCTCTTGACCCCGAAACACCAAGGTTTCTTCAGACCACTTTAGGCAGGGAACTGTGCGCGTGTCTTGTTTCCCTGCCAAAATGCCCCGACGGGACTTGACGTTAGCTACAAAAATGGGTTTCCTGGATAAAATCAAGCAACAACCACGAAACACTAGCCAGCGTCGGTTGGTGGAAATTACCGGATTGGCAAAGACTACAAATTCGCGCTGGATAAAACAAGACAATGAGCTGCGAGAAGAATGGGCACAATGTGAAGGACGAAAAGGAACTTCCAAAAAGCGGAAGTGTGAAAGCAAGGATTTAGACGTCGATGAGGCCCTTAATGAATGGTTTGCCATTGTTACTGGACGAGCTGTGCGAGTAGGCGACCCAGTGTTAAAATGCAAAGCAGAAGAACTCGCTAAAACGCTGGGCCACGATGACTTTAAAGCTACGGACGGTTGATCGTCTCGATGGAAATCTAGACATGACATAGAATTCAAGAAAGTACATGGCGAGAAAGAAAGTGCTGATAGTGCAGATGTTGAAGAATGGAAATCAACAAAACCGGACTAGCTTCTGAAAATTTTTCAGCAGATGACATCTACAATGCTGATGAAACTGGGCTGTATTATCGTGATACAACGGACGGCTCGTTAAGTTAAAAACATGTTGCTCTCTCTGGCTCCAAAATAGCGATGGATCGCGTAACTGTCTTGTGCTGCTCAAACATGTCAGGAACGGACAAGAGGAAGTTGTTGTTTACAGGAAAAGTGTTAAGCCTCGATGCTTTAAATGACTTGGGATGGATAGTTTACCATTTGTGTATCGTGCGAACAGAAATGCATGGATGAACTCTGAATTTTTTAAAGAATGGCTGAAGGGTTTGGACACACAGTTACAACACCTGTCGAGAAAAGTGCTGCTTCTTGACAGTTGTGACGCATGTCCTCATTTAAATTGCTTGAAGAACATCCAACTGGAATTTGTACCTCCCAGAACCACAGCTTTAGTTCAGTCAATGGACATGGATATCATCAAAAATTTGAAAACCCTTTATCATGCAAGGTTGGTTAATTACATCCTTGAAGCAATTGAAGAACGTTTCCAGACCTCATCGTCAAAGGTCAGCATCTTACAAGCAGTTACATTTGTGGCCGACAGCTGGCGAAAAGTGAGCAGTGAGACAATTCAGAACTGTTTTCCTCACTGTGGCTTTAAGCACTTGGGTTTGGAGATGGATGTAGACATGCTCATTAAAAGTGAAAATGATGACGGGCATGTGGAACTTCAACCGATACAAAATTGCGAATAATTTTTATACATCGATAACGAGCTTCAATGCTACGATGAAAATGAAGAATACGACGCTGCAATCGTTGCAGCAAAACACACGACAGCATCGGAAGTTCAAAAAGTGGTGTAGATGCTGCAAGTGATGTTGATGCAAGTGACAACACAGGATGCGAGGAAATGCATTGAAACTTTGCGTCGGTATTTCATGAAAAAAGGAAGTGAAGACGGTCCCATTGCTGTATTAGATGCTTGTGGCGATTTCGTTCACATGCAGTCCGTCAAGCGAACACGTCAGATCACATTGGATAAGTTCTTCAAATGTTGACTGGAACTTGGTAAGAACTTATTTTTATTGTGCTTCGCATTCTGAGTATCGTGAAGATCGTTTCTTAGAATTAGTTTCTAAATTAATTTTTTCAATGAAAAAAGTTGGACTGTAGTTCCTGTTTGTACATGTATGTTCGCCATACGTGTGTGCCGCACAATAAATGTCATAATTGCATTTTAGTACATGATTTACATGTACACTGCTCAAAAAAAAAAAAAAAAAAAAAAAAAAAAAATGGGACAGTGCTATATCTCCCGTTCTACTGGGCCGATTGACAAAATTCAACCTGCGTTTTTCATGTCTCGAAAGCGCGACTTAGGATATATATTAGATTTATATATAGCACTATTCTAACATAGGTATTTTGACACAAAATTGGACTTTTTCTGAAATAACATACCAATTTTTTTCCATATTTCGATTCTACGACTCAAATTATGCCAGAATACCAAGTTTTGTAAAAATCGTACGAGTAGTTTTTAAAATATTAGCTCTCAAAATTTTAGCTCCTCAATGTTAATTGAATTTGGCAAATATTTATTAATATCTCTTTTTTTATTAAACTTTTTTGATTTTTTCTCTCACATTTCGAAATTTAGGTTCATTCCAAATAAAATTTACCCATTTTTTGTGTTTATTTTTTAAATTTCTATTTTAAAATAATTTTTATAAATTTTTCGAAAAAAATTTTGAATTATAACCTATAAAATTTTTACCATCATCTTAAAGTAGGTGTATTTTTAAGCATATCAGCAAAAAATTAGGCTTTTTTATTCAAAATTTTCTAAGATATACACGAATTTACATATTTTCGCGTTTTGAAATTTGGCATCTTTTTTTGAGCGATACAACGCCAAATGTGTCTATGGATTTTTGTTACACTGAATTGCCACAGCTATTTTTAACATTAAATTTCAAGTAAAATTTTACGAAGAATTAATTATATGACATTTTTTCCCTCAATGATGCGTAATAAACATTTATTAATACTATATTTAAAGCTATTTTTTTAATTATAGATGATATTATTCAAATTTTTAACTATTTTTTTTTTTAAATTTTTCTATATCTTTAAAAAAGGTAAGAGTAAATTTTTGTATTAGTAAATTTTTACCTTCGGCGTTTTATCGTCTGCTGCTTTACTTCGTTTAAATCGAATTGTCTAAAACTGAGAATTTTTGTTTGATGTTTATTTGAATTTTATGACAGTAACTGCATAATTATTTCTAAAAACAAACTGTTGCTTTTGAAGTGGCTGAAAGAGCGGCTGATACATATTTTTAAAACACAGTATATTTTTATAGAAACATAAGATTTAGAATAATAATTTTCATAAAAGTCAAATTATGATATAAACATACAACCCTCTAGAGACTGAATTAATGGAAGTTCGGTGGTTGTGTAGAAATGATCTGCAGCTACTTAATGGCTGGATAAGTCAGCAGATTCTGTGAACAAGTAAGAATAATTATATAAACGACACCCAACATTCTGGATTCAATTAACAACGAGGATACGATGTTTATTAAATGAATTGAAAAAGTTTTAAAACATAAAAAATCAACTCATTTTTTTATCTTAAAATGTATTTTTGTGCATAGCGTATTTTCATTATATTCTTATAATTCTAATTTAGAATGTAATTGTCAAGAACTGAATCCTAATCATTAGTAATATAATAAGTAATTATTACGGTTATTAATAAATCCTTCTTATAAATTGCAAATATTGCACACGATATTATTTATTTACACTTCAATTCTAACCGTCAGCTCTAGTAGAAGTTACAAATCAATTACATTTAATTAAGGATTGGATTGGATTATTTAATTATCGCAAAGCACACGAGGGTTATCTGCCGAAAGGGAAGGATTCCTTCGTGGAGGACTTTCTAAGGGAAACTTTCTTTTTAAGGGAAACTGGCTCGTATACACGTTACACATGGGGAAAACCACGAAAACGCCCACGCAGCCAGCCCGTTCGCGGGATTCGAACCTCGAACCAAACTACCAGTGTTCAGCGACTTTACCGTTCGGCCGGAACTGCTGTTAAGAATGCAGTAACAGGATTTAACTTGCTCTCGGAAAATGCTGGACGCTACATTGAACATGCTTTGTAACACGTTTCGGAAACTATTAAACACATTTTAAACAGATGTTTTCATGTCTTATTTCATTTACCAATATTGTATACAGCACCATTTTTCCACTGTTGGTGAGTTTTTGAACTCTTTTTTTTTTTTTCCCGCGGAAAATAAATTCCCATAACCTCCTTTAAACGATTCCCAAGTGTGATAACATTTGGTCCAGTAGTTTTCCTTTTATGACCATTTCAAACTGGAACTTTAATTATAACCACCATTTAAATTAAACTTTAAAAGTCTGACAGTTTGGTTCAAGTCCCAGCTTTAAAAATATATATATATTTAAATATAATATTTTATATTAATTCTCTTAGAAAGAATGTTTTAAGAAGCTAATTTTTCTCTCGCGTTATAGATTGTATAAAAAAACATGATCTTTAATATGATTTAGATTGTTTCAGCCGATATAAGAATCGGGTTACTCGGTAGTACAGAATAAACACTGCTGGACTGTTTTATTTCTTTGTCATTTAGCAAAAATATTTTAATTAAAATATTTATGCTTTGGACTTTGCTCTATACTTTTTTATAGTTAAAATGTCTAGAAAATGAAAAGCTGTCTTCAGCTGAAGCGCAGTTGATGCAATTGATATTTTAAAAAAATTGACAAGAATGCAAAATTTATGGAAGTCTGGAATCGAAAAATCTTAATTTTTTTGTGTGAGCACTGAAAATAACTGTAGAAGGAAAGAAGAAAATTAGGGAGAAAAGTAAGCAAAAATTTGCAGGGAAATTTGGCTGTCAGACATACCAAGATGTTTCAAAAAGTTGGACGCTTTTGAATATACCTTCAGGATACTTCAAAGAATTTGTGTTCAAAGAGAAAACACTTGGACGTGTACACCACCACCACCAAATATCATCAATGGAGCTTGTGTTAACAGAAAAGACAAAAACGATATCATTACAGATTAAAGTGAAGAGCGACTGGTTGTAGACTATATGGCTGTATAAATTTAAATTACGTTATAGAACATCATATCGTATCATAAATGGAGAGTCCCATGATTTTCTCAGTCGAATTATTTGAAGATTCAGGAGTTTATCCAGTGATGTATGTGGATGTCACCTAAAGACGTTTTTTTTTTCCTCCTGATGAAACAGCGGCTGAGCGGTAAATCGCTGAACACTGGTAGTTCAGTCCGAGGTTCGAATCCTGCGAACGGGCTGTCTGCATGGGCGTTTTCGTGGTTTTCCCCATATGTAACCTGTATGCGAGCCAGTTTTCCTTAGAAAGTCCTCCACGAAGGCATCCCTTCCCTTAGGCATAATTAAATAAACCAAAACCTCTTGATGAAACCAGTTTTACCTTTCATCTCATACCTTCAAAATGTTTAGCCTCTAAAGACTGATAAAGGCTCTGACCAAATACTTCGTGATGAACTTTCTAAGAGAAACCAGCTAGCATACACATGAGAAACGGTACACATGAGAAAATCCACGAAAACGCCCATGTAACCAGCCCGTTTACCGGGATTCGAACCCCGGAGTGAACTACCAGTGTTCAACGATTCTCTACCGCTCGGCCGTTTGTGGGCTTTTATGAAATGGAAGGCGATAACTTTATTTAAAATGATTGTCAGAAATACCAAGATATTTCGAAAAGTTGGATACTTTTTAATATACTTGCAGAATGCCTAAAGAAAAAAAGCAAGAATAAAGTAGAATGCCTGAAGAAAAAGAAAAGAAAAAATAAATTTTTGCGTAAAATTTAGTATTTCTACTTTTTTTTTTAATTTAAAACTTTTTAATCTTTTGATATTTGATTCTTGCGATTTCAAAAATAAAATATTTGACTAAAATATGAATAACATTTTAAGAAACCAAATGTAGGATAAAACTGTGTAAAGCAATGGGCACAATGATTAAACTGTTTAAAAAAGCAGTGTATGCAAGTCATCCTATGTTGAAAATGTCCGTTATACATCTCTCTTATTTATATATTTCTTTTCTGAACGGAACATTGAAAGGCGTGTTAACTGTGCTTTACTGTAATTTCTCTTTTAATATATGCAGTTTTCAAATGCATCATAGTCTGGGTTACAAAATATTCTTCGGAAAGAAACGCAATTCAAATAAATAAAATCAAATTCTGGAAAATTTATATTAATAAATATATTTAAAATGCTCAGTTTGAAGGAATAAATAGAAAATTTTAAAACAATTATCTGAAGAGACAATGCAACACAAACAATTAAAATAAAAGTATAAAAATTTAAAAATTTCCTAAAATAATAACTATGACAAATAAATATATATAAAGAAAACTATTTGAAAAAAAAAAAATAAATAAACGCTGCACCGTTATTGACGCAGTTTGAATAGGTAAATAGAAATTTCTAAAACAGTTATTCGAAGAAAAAAATGCAACTTGAATAATTAAAATGAAATTCGAAAAAGAAAAAATTACTTAAAATAATAACAGTTATAATAAAAAATATATAAAGAATATTATTTGGAAAAAAGAATGATGGTGACTTTTTTTCCTCTCACGGGAAAGGAAACAAGGTTGCCATATATTAAGACGTTCGTCAAGTGAAGTATTCTT